GTCCCAGAGACAAACATGACTCTGGTTTCAAGGCCAGGGAATGTGCAGAAAGTAAGGCAGAGGTGCCTCTTCTCCCCACCCCATCCAGACAGCTGGGTTGCAAGGATCTTCATACTCTTCAAATGTCCTCCAGACAAGGCAGGACAGGATTCTCATCTCCTCTGTACAACCAGGGAAACTGAGGCCCAGCAAGTTAACGGTAGAGACAGAGATAGGATTCGCCCTTTCCACTGTGTCCGGTGGGGCTGGGATGGAACAGAGCCAAGCACTCCTTGCCCTTTGCCCTGAAGGAGAGCTCAGAGGGAAGCTCCAAAAGATAAAAGAGAAGCAAGACTATTGTAGGGAGTGGCACAGTCTGTACTCTGAGGGAGGCCTTCACAGGGCTGGCTCAGGACTGAAGTCTGCTAACTCACAATTCTAGCCAACAACAGAACCTAACCTAGTAGGCGGCTAAGACCCCTTTCTTCCACAAAGTCAGAGATGCAGGAGAGGTAGGTGTTCCTAAGGGTTTTGCTCAGGTGAACCTGGGGCAACCAGGTCCCCTGGATTCCCTTCTCCTGGACATAGGGAATGGGCTCTGCTGAGAGTTTGCTCAGTGTAGACACATTTGCAGAGATAAACACAACTTAGCTTGCTCCTGCAGCGTCGGCCTCGGCCCAAAGCGGCTCACAGCGCAGCGGCTCAGTTCCCTCCTCTGTAAGATGCCGTGAGGACTGCTGAGCTCACATGTAGACGGCATGAGGCCAGGTGCATAGTAAGTGTGCAATCCAGAGAAACTAGCAATGGTAGTGGGATGAACGGAGAGGTTACAGGACGTGGAGCTTGGCAGCCTGGCTTCCGATGTGGCCCTGCCCACACTTCTAGGTGACCTTCAGCAGCTGCTGCCTTGTTGCTGACAGATAATCCCTTCTGGCTTTGCAGGCATTTTGGTGCCAGCCTCAGTCCTTGTCCTGCCACCTCCTCCCTTGGGAGAGACAGTGAGGAGAGGCCTTTCCACAGACAGGGGCTTGCTGGGCCCTCCTCTTCCCACACCACGGGCTGGGCTGTATGGGGAGAGCAGCAGGAGCACCTCAGGCCAACACACACCCCCACATATACTCCACACACACCACACACTCACAACCCACAATATGCACACTGCATATATCGTGCATACCCCACACACATGCACTTCACACATACACCACATACAGCACATCATACATACCACACATATCACACACAGCACACACAACTCATACCACATACACTACAATATATATACCACACATACCATACCATGCATATTCCACACACATGCACTTCACACACACATCACACATATCACACATGCTTACACCACATACACTGCAATATACACACCACACATACCAGGAATACCCCCCACACCACACACATGCACTTCACACACATCACACACACCACTCACTCATAACTCACACCACATACACTGCAATATACACACCACATATACCACGAATACCCTACACACACCCCACACATGCACTTCACACACATCACACACACCACTCACTCATAACTCACACTACATACACCGTAATATACATACCACACATACCACGAATACCCCACACCACACACATGCACTTCACACACATCACACACACCACTCACTCATAACTCACACTACATATACTACAATATATACACCACACTTACCACGAATACCCTCCATCCCACACATGAACATCACACACATCACACACACCACTAATAACTCACACCACATACACTGCAATATACATACCACATATACCATGCATACCCCACACACACCCCACACATGACTTCACACACACATCACAAGCACACACCACACATATCACACACCACATACACACGCAACTCATACCACACATACCACCCCTCACAACATACATACTCATATACACATAACACACATCACAAACACACTCCACACTTACCATATGCATGTCACACATACATTATACACACCCCATACACTCACAGCTCACACCACATGTACTACATCCTCCCACAACATACACACACATACACACACCACATATACCAAACATACCACATATACACATACACACCACACATATATACATACACACCACACACACTCACAACTCACACCTTACACACAACATGCAGACTGCACATACCATGCACACATACACACAAACATTTCACACACATTCCATACCCATCACAACATACACACCACATACACATACTGTGCACACCACACATACACACTACATGCACACTGCACATATACATAACACATCATTCATACACCACACTCACAACTCACACCACACATACATGTATACACACATACATATAACAAACACATGCCACACACCATACATCCACACACATGTCACATATGCCATACATGCAACACACACACATTGCAAACACACAGCTCTCACAAACACAACTCACACACTCACACACACGCAGCACTGGGGGCTGCTCTCTCCACTCAAACTGTTCTCACCAAGGCATGGCCAACTCTTACGCTGCCGACTGGAGGGGCCTCTCCCAGGCTCCCTTGCCAGCCCCCAGCTGCTCTTAGCCAGCTGGCTTTCCCCTCAGCACCACTCTCCCACGTCGGGCGGGCGGCCAGATAAGGCAGAGCGCCCGGACCAACTTGAGTCGATAGACAACCAGTCGTGTGCCAGTGTAAGGATGTCCCTAATCTTGCATGGGGGTATTGATACTAAAAATTACTAGTCTGTTTTATTTTACATGCTACATCTGGCCGCCCTACTCCCCGAGTCTCTGTCCTGCCTGCTCTCTGTCTCGTCTCTCCTCTAGTTGCCCCTCCTTGGCCCTGCCTTTCTCAGCTGCTCCAGGGGGCCGGCCTTGACCACCTCCTCTTCTCAGCTCCCTGCTCTCCCAGGACAGCTTCTCCACACCCTTGGATTTTCCCCCACACTGACAGGCCTCCCCAGAGTCCTCCCAGAACCACCTCCCACTGCAGCGACAGCACACCATGACACCACCATGTGGGCCACACCTGCCAGCCCAAGTGAGGTGGCCCCTGGTGCCTCCCTCAGCTGCTGGCCCAGATCATGCTGGCCAGGTGTGGCAAGCAGTGCTTCCCTCTGGGGCTGCAATGTCCAGCCACACCGCCTCATGCCAGCCAGGCTGAGCCACCTGCTCCCTGCCCCCCACCTGCCACCCCACCTCACATGCTCTGAACCTCTGCACATGCCATTGCCTGTGTCTGGAACACTCTCCCCCAACTCCTGCTTACTGAAGTCCCATCTCTTCTTCAAGTCCAGCTCAAGGGCCTCCTCTTCCCAGGTCTCCCTAGGTGTCATGCTCTCCCTCCCCCGAGGTGCCCAGTGCATTATCTCAGCCTTATCCAGGAAGTCACTGAGTGCTGGGACCGTGTCCGGTGGAGTCCTTTACTCCCTGGGCAGGGCCTGGTACAACGTCCGTGCTCAGTCAGCGTCTACTGAGTGGAGGAGTGAATGACTGAGTGAACAAGTGATGGCACAAATGAATAAATGTGGGGGGTAAGTGAGGAAGTTAGACTCAGTGACTAGATGGTGGGGAAGGAAATGGGTGGGTGGACGAACTGGTGGGTATGTAGATCGGTGAGTGGGTCGGCATATCAGTGTGTGCATGAGCGAGTGAACAAATGAGGAAGCCTCGGGGCTTGACAGACGGCCCATCCCTGCAGAGACAGAGCGGAAGTGGGGAGCTCGTAAGGCCTACACCACAGTTTGACTTCTTCCTCTACCCAGTCCCACGTTTCCTCTTTCTCCTTGCAGGTATTGGTCCCAACATCTCACACTCAAACTTTGTCTTAAGGCTCACTTTTCAAAAACACAACCTCGTGCCACCTGCAAGAATTCCCTTCACTCAGACACCAGGGCCTCCTGCAGTCATACACGTCTATAAAGGCCATACTTGGGGGGGGAGGGGAGTGTCTAGTGTCCAGAGTGAAAAGGACGGGACCCCAGGAGCTCTTGTCCCCAGCCTGAGGCCTCCCCTCTCATGCCCACCGCCTCATCCTGCTCCATCAGCCTGACTAACCAGCATCTTCCCCCTCGGCACCTTTGCAGCCCCAAGCCTCTTTCTCTGAGGGTCCTTCCCGTGGCAATGACATGGGAAGGTGGCCTGTCTGTCTGGGTGCCCTTAGAGGCCAGAGCCCCTCAAGTTCAGTCCGGTCCTCCTCAACAGGCAGGTACTGGGAGAACCACCCACTCAGGGCTGAATGCAGACACAGGAGCCAGGAGGCTCATAATTTTGCACCCTTCAAACCATAGTCTTTAAATACAGCCCAGCATTTATTCTGCAGGATGGAAAGAACAGATTTTCTATGAATAAAAACTGAATATCTCTTTGTGGTTTAGAAAGATAGAATTTTATCATGTGCTCTGAATGTAACGTAACATTTTAACTGTTTTGGAATTATCTTCTAAGATACAGTCACTCACGTTTTCTAAAAACAGAAGTGGTCTGCTAGAATACTACAATAAAGCCTCATTCCAAATATGTTTTAAAGTCTTTTTTCTGGCTTTCATGTTAATAAAACGTATTGTACTTTCTATGACTCTCATTTTCTGTTTCCTTTGTGGTTTTTCCCAAACCAGATTTGGAAAAAACCATAAAAGGATACACATTTCAACTATAAAATAAACCACTTGTTCCCAGGAAGCAGCTCTTTGGTTTCAGAATTTCGGGGCTGATTTCAGACAACAGGGAGGTGGCAGCCCTCAGGGTCTGGGTCTGTGCAGTGTGCAGAACTACTTCATTAAGAAAGTGTTTCTAGGGAACCAGCAGTTAGTGTAATGGCTATGTCGCTGAACTCCCACGTAGTCAACCGCGGTTTGCGTCCTAGACCCGGTGGCTTAGAACTCAAGCCGGGCGCGTGTGTGTGCGTGCCCAAGATCCCGAGAGGAGAATGGAGGAGAAGGGATTGCGGCATGACCATCCCCCCTGGGGGGTGATTTCTCGCTTTCTGTCTCTATGTCTCTCTCTTTGTCTGGCGAGGGCACGTGTCCTATAGCGAAAATCTCTCTAAAAAAAAAAGTGTTTCTTAAAAAAAAGTCCACGTGGGGGCGCCACTTCTCCTGGTGGCTATAGGCCCACTTTCACAGTACCTGGCTGGCAGTACATTTCCGAGATCGTTCAGTGGCTGGCGTAGATGAGCAGAGCTGACCCACCATCCAACTGGATTCTATGTCTGTTCGCTCACCCCTCAGATCCTTCCTGGGCCCCATCGTGTGGGTAGGGACAACTGAGTTCTCCGAGCTCAGCACTAACTCCCACCTAGTCTCAACACCGATCCCCCAGGCGGGAGTGTGCAGCAAGCTGGGATGGCAGATGAGGAGTCTGCAGAACACGGAAGGGACAGACAGGGATGCAGGTCCCAGATGAGTGAGACACCAGGGAGGGCTTGCTGGGAGATGAGTGAAATTGACCCACCAGCAGACAAATCCGGAGGGACTTAGGCCTCACATGAAGGTCCAGAATTCCCGGGCACTCGGCATCGAGTGGGCATGGCGACTGGGCCCAGTGAAGAGGGAGGCCTCCTGGTGAAACGTGGCCACTGTGAAGCTGCGGCCAGGGCCCCCCTGAGGGTCCTGGGTCCTTGAATCACAACTGAAGCAGCAGAGGATGCAGGTGATGGCCACAGTGGCCACGAACAGCACAGCCACCACCCCAATCACTGCCGTTTCCATGGCTCCATGCAGCACCTGAGCCGCAGAGCAAGCTTGGGTCGTCTCAGAGCTTCAGCTCCCCGTCAGAAACATGAGGTTCTTGAGAATCTCAGGTGCCGGTCTAAGAAGATGTGGGCCTGAGGCCCCAGGTCGTGCCTGCCCTAGGCCATCGGGCGCCCCCATGTGGCTCTACCACTCAGACCTCAGTTGATCTCTTTCACAAGTCTTGGCTGGGCTTCCAAGAGCTGTGGTCAATTTCACTGGCAGCTTCTGGAAGAAACGCCGTCTTGGAAGATGGGAGTACAAGACTCTCCGGACACAGAGAGAGTAAGGAGGAGGAGGGGACAGAAGACGCTGCTCGGAGAGATCCTGGCCAGCTCGGACCCTCTAATGACGCCTACGAATTCCAAGACCAGAGCAATCATAAACTCAGGAAAAGACAAAATACTCCCACTCCTCTGGATCCAGAAGGAGCCGGCTCCTCCCCTGCAGGGACCTTGGGCCAGTCTAGGAATCAGCCTCTCTGTTCC